GTACCTGCCAAACTTTGATTAAGTAAGTAACAACACTCAGTCCAGACAGTCAGTGTAATGGTATAATGCACTATAAAGTAATGTGTAGAGTTGCAACCCACCCAAGAGATCCTTCACAGAGGCCAGCTTTCATTTTTATATTATATATAGACCTCTTGGTGACAGCGCCTCCCTGAAAGAGGTTTCAGATGCCGGGAGGATTGTGGTCATGTGACCGCCATGATTGGCTGTCACAGCCATCACATGATCGGAAAGCTCCTAATCACAAGTAGCAAATGGGAGCTTTCCATTACCTGTTGGTAACTGTGCAGGGAGCGTGCACAGTGCACGCTCTTGGCACAGTTCCATTTTTCTTTGGTTACACATATATGTGGCCTCTCGGCATTAAGGCCCATCAGCCGAGAGGCGGAATATATGGAACGAGTTAAACAAATACTTGATACAAGAAGTGGGGAGCCAAAAACATTAACTATTGATGCAATGTGGATAAAGTGCAAACCATCGTACGCTCAGATCACAGATTGAGTGTGTGAATGATGGCAGAAGCATTGGACATGAGCAGGGAAACAGTGTGGCAGATTCTAACAGAGGATTTGGGATTGAGAAAGATTTCCATAAAGATGGTGCCTCAAATCGTGACAGAATATCAGAAAGAATGTTGTCTTCAAATTTAATCCGATTTTTTAAGAATGCAGTGCAGAGGTGTTTGGTAAGGTTATTACTGTCCATTCTGGAAATTAAAATGTCACATCTTGTACATTTAGGGGTCTGTTTATTAACGTTACCAAAGATTCATACAACTTTCAGCCAAAATTAATACATTTTTTTAACTGAATCTTAAGTGAAAAACGTGTGAATTTTGGATAATTGTTGTGTGAATCCTATATAAAAATATTAATGTATGGGCCCTTTAAAACACAAAATAATAAACAAGAGAGGAGGTTTCTGCAGTAGTTGTAGTTCTCACATTCACAGAACAGAACTGAATGAGTGATGTGACCGGTTGGCTGGAGCCCCACATCTCATTTTTTGAAAACTGTGACAGTGGGTGTTGGGAGAAGATCCCTGGCCCGCTGTCACAATGGGGAGTCAAGGGGTGCAGGAGCTGCTTAGTTAGTAACATGTTACACCCCAAATGTGGGTTAACATGTAACATATTACTAAAGGTGAACTTATCCTTGAATGTTTTCCACCATCAAAGCATAATTTTTCCCTATAGTCTGGTCAGTAAAGTTTTTTATTTCTTCCTCTCAGTAAAATGGTGAGACCAACATCTGGAGTTTGGAAACGTTTCCACAGTGCAGTTTCTGCTGAGAACAATTTGCAAATATTGTGAGAAGAAATATTCTTTTCCAAATGCTACTTGGATGACTAAACACATCCTGGCATGCCAGAGGTGCCCTAAAGACATTAACAAATATTTTATGGAATAAAATGATGAGGACCATAATGAAAGAGGAAGTAGCTTTTCCCTCCAGAGTCCTCATTCCAGAAACACTCTTTCTGCTGTTTCTGGATCTTCACAAAGTGTTTTTTCATCAGAAGCATCTATAAGTAAGGAAGTGTTACAAACCACTGCCTAACAAAAAATGCAATACCTTCATTTATAGCTAAAATAACACTTAAAAATCAGGAGAAAACTGATCAAGAGCAATATATGCTATTGAATCTGCATTGTCAATAACTGATTATGTATATTGGCAGCAAGCTTTTAAATTATTATGAGGGAAAGGGGGTGGTTACCAGTTATCATGTATAGTTGAAATGTTTTTAACATATACATGTAAGCAGGTTGAAATTAGATAGGTGCTGTCCAAGACGGGAGGAATGGGATTAACTTAGTTCCCCGGGTTTTTCATTGGCAGGATCTTTGGGTCCAACCCACTGCTCCTGTGGATATAAAAAGGGACCATGGTTTAGAGCAGGGGTGGGCAAACTTTTTGACTTGAGGGCCGCAATGGGTTCATATATTGGACCCGGGGGCCGGACCAAGAGTAGATGAATGATGTGTATGTGTCATCCATAGTAAGTATAGTAATATTCCCCCATAGTAAGCATAGTAATTAATCCCCCATAGTAATTCATCCCCATATAGTAATTCATCCCCCATAGTAATTCATCCCCCATAGTAATTCATCCCCCATATAGTAATTCATCCCCCATATAGTAATTCATCCCCCATAGTAATTCATCCCCCATAGTAATTCATGCCCCATATAGTAATTCATCCCCCATAGTAATTCATCCCCCATAGTAATTAATCCCCCATATAGTAATTCATCCCCCATAGTAATTCATCCCCCATAGTAATTCATCCCCCATATAGTAATTCATCCCTCATAGTAATTCATCCCCCATAGTAATTCATCCCCCCATAGTAATTCGTCCCCCATAGTAATTCGTCCCCCATATAGTAATTCATCCATCATATAGTAATTCATCCCCCATAGTAATTCATCCCCCATATAGTAATTCATCCCCCATATAGTAATTCATCCCCCATAGTAATAATCCCCCATAGTAGTAATTCATCCCCCATAGTAAATTTATCCCCCATAGTAATTCATCCCCCATATAGTAATTCATCCCCCATAGTAATTCATCCCCCATATAGTAATTCATCCCCCCTATAGTAATTCATCCCCCATATAGTAATTCATCCCTCATATAGTAATTCATCCCCCCTATAGTAATTCATCTCCCATATTAATTCATCCCCCATATTAAGTCCCCAAGTCCCCCCTGTGTCAATTCACTTACCTTTGCTCCGCGCGTTCCTCTCGCCGTGTTCCCGCGCCGTTCCGGTGTAGCATGAAAATCTGTCTCCTATGAGGATCTGTCCCCCTCGACGTATCTGCGCATGTGCCAGTTTCAGGCATTAGCAGCAGCGACCGGCAATCTCCGGCACATGCGCAGATACGAGGGGGGACAGATCCTCATAGGAGACAGATTTTCATGCTACACCGGTCTTCAGGGCGGACTGTGAGAGGAGCCTAGCGGGAGCCTAGCTCCGCGGGCCGGATTAAAAGGTCCGCCGGGCCGTATACGGCCCGCCGCCCGCGGGCCGTAGTTTGCCCATTGCTGGTTTAGAGCCATGGAAACAATGGAGAAAGAAGATGATTTTCCAAAGTTCCCCTGGAGGAGCTCGAGAGCCTTGCCGCTGGTCAGTCAGCCATGTTCCATGTAGGGGACGGCCGCCTAAGAACCTGAAAGATGTGAGAGCCATCCAACTCAGGGTTCACCCCAAAGTATCCAGCCACTGGGGAATGCCACTGTTGGACCTGAATGCACATGGACTTCACCTTTGCAGGTATGCCGGGACAGCACATAGCCTGAGTAGGATTAGAGATTAGGTACTTAGGAAAAAAATTGCATCATGTTGGACTCTGTATTGTCTACACTTTATTCAGTAAAGTGTTGAAGCGTTGCCTTTTGCCTCATCTGAAGTTACTCAAAAGGGTGTACTGCAAGTAACCGGCACAACTTTGCACTTAGTCTACAGCTTGGGTCACTAGCACATGGGGTATAAATAGTACGTTAAGAGTCATTGTAGTGCAAGTTATATATGTGGTTGCCATGAGCAGCAAAGGTACAGTTAGCAAGCAGCTCGTCATATAAGAGTACTGTTTTAGCTGGAATTGACTCTAGCCACAAGGGTGATTATGCCGGCATACCCTGCACCACATTCTGTCTCCCACAGCAATTAGAACAGAACTGCACTGCAGAGGTCCCCATACTGTACAGAGGTATGGAAGTTCAAGAGTTAAAGTGTTATTAAACCCACAACAGTAAAATCAGTCTGTATATGCAGTAAAACTTGCTTGATAGACTCACTATGGAACCTGAGATGTTAATCCTCTGCATTGTGTAAAAATGCTGTTTGATCCTGACTTATCTGATCCTCCCATTCTTCCAGTGTCCCCCTCTTATCTCCTGATAAGACATATTGTGTGGAGACATTCTGCACATGCTCAGTTTGGTGTGTATTGCTAGAGAGGGTTTTTTTTTCTTGGGAGAGTGCATGTGATCAGCACAGGGCCAATCCACACTGTCCAGACAGAGGTTAGGGATCCTGCATCTTCCTAGAGCAGATAGAAAACTCCTCCTACAAGATTAACCAGTGCTCAGCCGGACACTGTTAGAAGTCACAAGACTGCTCTAACTGCTGATGAGAAAAGGTATTTAGCAGTTTATATTTACTAAAATAATTGCATTTTCATGTTCTGTGTACTGTGGGAGACCAGACAGAGTGAATGCAGGGTTCTAGGTTTAGTAACACTTTAAAGTCAAGTGCACATTGGGCAGTATGGTTCCATGCTGCCACCGGGACATTTAGTGGGAAACGCTGTACTGGTGGCAGTGGTCGGTGTCCGACACAGCCCGCCTAGTTGCAAGCTACAGTGGGAAGATGTACATTTATACAGGGCCCAGAGAGTAAACTGGAAAACAGTTGTTGTGCATGGTGAAGGTTCATCTCTAAAAGTAGAGGCCTGCCTTCATGTTGAGTATTCCCTGACGGCAACCTCAGTCTTGTTCCAGGGCATTAGTGAAAACTGTACTAAAGCATAGGTACCCCATGCAGGGGCATATCTGCCGCAAGGCAAACAAGGCACTTGCCTTGGGTGGCAAATTGCAGGAGGGCGTAGCTGATCCCTTTGCAGAAGGAACAAGGGCTCAGCAGTTCTCGGGCAGGGGGGTGGGCATGTGGGCTCGGCAGTTCTTGGGGGGGCTCGGCAGTGTTCGGTCAGAGGAGCGAGCTCAGCAGTGCTCAGATGGTGGAGGAGGGCTCGACAGTGTTTGGGTGGGGGACAGGCTCGGCAGTGCTCGGCTGGGGGAGGAGGGCTCAGCAGTGCTCAGGGGGGGAAGGAAGGCTCAACTGTGTTCGGGCTGGGGAGGCAGGGCTCGCGGGTGCTCAGCTGACCATCTCCTGTGTCCTATGCGCACTCTCCTGTATCCTGTCTGCAGTCTCTGACCGTTTCCTGTATCCTGTCCACAGTCTCTGATCGTATCCTATCCAGTCTCCTGTATCCTGTCTGCAGTCTTTGATCGTCTCCTGTGTTCTGTCCGCAGTCTCTGACTATCTCCTATACTATGTCCATAGTCACTGACATCTCCGGTACTATGTCCGCAGTCTCTGACCATCTCGTGTACTATGTCTGCAGTCTCACACAATCTCCTGTACTATGTGTGCAGTCTCTGACTTTCTGCTGTATCCTGTCCGCAGTCTCTAACTGTCTCCTGTACTATGTCTGCAGTCTCTGACCTTCTCTTGTATCCTGTCCGCAGTCTCTAACCATCTCCTGTAGTATGTCTGCAGTCTCTGACCATCTCCTGTAGTATGTCTGCAGCCTCTGACTGTCTCCTGTATCCTGTCCGCAGTCTCTGACCGTCTTCTGTTCTACTGTATATCTGCAGTCTCTGACAGTCTCCTGTACTATGTCTGCAGTCTCTGAACCTCTCCTGTATTATGTTTGCAGTCTCTGATCATCTCCTGTATTATGTCTGCAGTCTCTGCCCATCTCCTGTACTATGTCTGCAGTCTCTGACCATCTCCTGTATTATGTTTGCAGTCTCTGATCATCTCCTGTATTATGTCTGCAGTCTCTGCCCATCTCCTGTAGTATGCCTGAAGTCCCTGACCATCTCCTGTACTAGATCCTCAGTCTCTGATCAACTCCTGAGGTGAAGCTCTAATAGGAAGTGGTGGAGCCTAAAGATGAAGGGGTGGAGTTTATAGATGAAGGGGTGGGTCTTAAACAGAAAGGAGTGGGACAAATTTAGAATGGGGGGAGGCGCCTGATTTTCATCTTGCCTAGGGTAGCATAAAACCAAAATACACCACTGACCACATGTGTGTGAAGTAGAAAGAGACCCTGTACAAGGTGCCTAGCGTACCTCATAAGAACTCATCCTGGGCTAGGCCTCTCATGTGACCCCCTGCTTGGCACCCAATGCGGGGGGAAAATGGAGAATGTGACAAACAACCACCACCCTACCCTTGCATGCATTCCTTGTTATTCTACTTGTAATAAAAAAAAAAAAAAAAGCAAGTTTAGCTTATTTATGGAATGAGATGTACTTTTATTTCAAGCATAATACTTTTATATACACTGCATTTCATGCTCCCAATGGAACAAGATGTCTTTTTTTCCACAAAGTTTACAACTCTATATGCTACCCCAACTCTATATGCTACTGACAACTCATGGGGCCACCGGCAATAGGGGGTCAGGAGGCCCCTGTGTCCTTGCCCAAACTCAAAAAAGCCTATAAAAAGGTACCAGGGGCATCTCATGGGGCCCCCTACTGACCCCGGTCCCTCGGGCAGTGCCCGGGTTTCCAAATGGTCAGTCCGCCCCTGCTACCCAATGACCCCTAGATACTCTCCTGTATCAAAGGTCTGCCAGAGCATGTGATCTCTAACATTTCATCATAGTCAATGCTAGTTTCATCGCCTGATAACTCAATGTAGCCTCTAAAAAACACTGCAAAAGAAGGTGATCCTGCTACATCACAGCCATTACCAACATAGTCAAGGACTAAAGCATCAAGTAGTAGAAAAATGTGTTTTGCTGGGGACTTGCTGGGTTTGGGGCTTAAAGCAGCTGCTTCTGTCTCCTTGCTCCTTCAATAAATCTGAGCTTTGCCCCTAATTCAATGCCCCCTCCTCAGCAACATGTACTCATCTTTCATTTACGCCATTGCTGCACTATTTAACTGCCAGGAATGAGAAAAGGAAGCACTGTGTACTGTAAGCTCCAAGTCACTCCATTTAGAGCTTACACTGGACTGAGGTCTACCTACCGGACCCCATGTGATAGCACTGGATTTGTCTTAAATCACCGGTGAAGGCAGAATCAGTCATATGCTCCTCCATCCACATGCACAAAGATTTTTTTTTTTTCCGCTTCTGCCAGAGAAACATAATGGCATGGGAGCCTGAGTAGATATGGGTGAGGAAGAGGAAAATACATTGATTTGCTTTAGGATCCCATTTTAAACATCAACATAACTAACTCAGCCATAAGAACACATTTCATTGCTAGAACATATGTAGGATGCTTCCACCTCCATCCTAGTTGGCCGGAGGTAATCCTAGTTGGCCAGAGGCAGTGAATGTTCGTCTATAGACTTGACTGAACACATTGAGTAACGAAGTACTGGCAGTGCTGTACCTATCACACTGTAAAAATGACAAGCCTGGGAACACCCTCAGTACTAACACACCCTTCTTTCCTCGAACATGTTCCTCTTTTGTTGCGATGACATGAAGCTTTGGAGTCAGCACATTATGAACTTTGTGTAGTTTTATTTATTTATTTTTCTCTCTATTTTTTTTTTTTTTTTTTGGTATCTCACTAGGTTATTCACTCATGTGTAAAAAGGTGCATACATCATCTGTCTTGTAAATGCATACCACAAAGTACAAGGTACATGAGTTATTGCTTGATTGTTTGTACTGTGCAAATGTACAATCCTTGAGGTTCCTTACACAGGCAAATGAATGGTCTATGAGTTAGGTTACAGGGAGCCAGTTATAATTTATCCATATACAGTATCATTCATATTAAACCATATATAAACCTAAAAGCAGAAATTTCAGATATTGCAGCTTGCCAGTCCTTAGATGTGTTGGCTCCTTTAGTTTTCTTGTTTTCAGAATGTTTTCAGCAAACATAGAAAATACCTGTTGATCTTGCCAGAAATGCAGTGTCACTTTTTGTGAGCTAAAAATGTTTGAAATCTAGCCTGGGTGACAACCGGGGTCAGGACAAAGGCAGGGAGGGGGCTGCAGATGGGTCAGGGTCAGTGTTTTCATGTAGAATTTCCAGAATTTGCATTTGAAAGAACCACCTTTATTTATTTATTTATTTCAGGTACTTATGTAGCGCCGTCAATTTACGCAGTGCTTTACATATATATTTTACATTCACATCAGTCCCTAACCCTCAAGGGGCGTACAATCTAAGGTCCCTAACTCACATTCATACATACACATACTAGGGCCAATTTAAACAGGAGCCAATTAGCCTACCACCATTAACTTTGTATATGGATGAATCACTATGGGTATGCAAATAAGAGAGCTGCAGCCACATACTGAATTTTCCACACTACCCTTTACAGCTGCTCTGTAGTATAAATGGGGCAAACCCAGGGCTGTGGATAAGGGGGTGCCACCAGTTCTCCTGTACGGGGCCCAGGCAGCAGAGGGGTCCAGGCAGCTGGGTGAATTGGGTGTGGGCAGGAAAGGTGACCAGCACTGCAGTGGGGAGGCAATAACTAGAATCGATCCCTTGCATGGCTCTCTGCAACAGCTGGAAGTTGCATTCTTCTCCTCTCCCTCCTGCTAACTTTCAGCCGCTGCAGAGAGACCTATACAGGTTATCAGTTTTAGTAACTGCCCCCTGCAGCACCCATCACCCTCATTGTGCAGCATACGTTTTCCCTTGCTGCCCAGGTCGCACTGAGTGCCCCCACCTCCGCTGTGCTCCCTGTTTCCCACCGGCACCTGCAAGCACACAATGGGATACTTCAGGATGGAGAGTGGGGGAAGGGTCCAGCCCCTTCCTCTCCTGAATTAACACAATGAGTGATCAGCATTGATCACTTACTGTGTTCACGCATAAATGAAGCATAGAAACCTGTGGGGGGGGGGGGGGGGGGGGCCCTGGTCAGGTTAGCTGTATGGGGCCCTGTAGTTTCTAACAGAAGCCCTGGGCACACCCTTTCCTTGCGGTGGCCTGCACTGATCAAGTGCAGAAGAACAGCCCTCTGGCACAAATGAATGCATAATAAGACTGGGGGGAGAGGAAGTTTGACATCTTTGCTTTAGGCAATGGATAACGTTTTCCCACTCCTGAGGACAACTATAGCTCCCAGTCCCAGCATATCCTGCAACACATCAAGTTTTTTTCTCTATTATGATTTCTGGCTTAAAAATGCTGAGAACTTTTTCCAATTTAAAATAATTCAAAGATCCAGTTCTCTATCCCCAAGAGGTATGCATACTCCCTATTAAGGCTAAACTTTACATTCAACAAAAAACAAAAAAAATTGCAAGCAGACAGGCTTTTGATTGCAAAAGAGACATACTGCAGTATGTGTAGGTAGTTTGTCACATTGCTGGAGGGGAGGTGAGCACTCGGGACTATAACTCCACTTAAGAAAACAAGAGCGTGTACAAAGAGAAACTAAGAGACTGTGCTACTATGATAAAGCATAAGTATATAACAGCACTTTACAATATATATATTGTGGCAGTACGGTATCCTGCCACTGTGGAAAGCACGAAGGAGACCCAGGATTCTCAACTATACAGGTTGAGGGGCTCCAGGCAGATCTCATAATGCAGAGGAAACTGGTTTATCAGTTTCCTCTTTGGTTTGTAAAGCCTGTTTTGGGACCTGTAGCCTGGAGATTTCTTAGAGATTTGGGAGGGATGAAATCTCCAATCCTGGGCCCATATTTTGGGAGCGTGCTGCTGATTGCACAGGTGTGTGCAGGACTTTTAGGGGAAGCCAGGCCATGATTCTGGGCTCCACCCCGGCAAACGGAGTCAGGAGGGCTCCACCCCGGCAGACAGGAGGTCTCTGCCTTGGAGTCAGGTGAAAGCCAGACTAGCTGTGTGCTAGTGGCCATAATTTGGGAAGAGTCTGCAGGAGACAGACAGTGAACTGTGTACAAGCCAGGAGGCTGAATACTGTTATTTTGCTTGATGGTGGATACCCCTGCGTGGGAAGCATTTGTGTTATTTGAACTTTCTTTAAATAAAAGTGGGCAAAAAAGCCCTTAAAGAAGCGAGTTGATGTGTGCTTAAACAAGAAAAGCTCTACCAGTTGAAGCGAGTTCCCACAATATATATATATATATATATATATATATATATACACACAGTCATTATATTTATATTATACAGGATTTATATAGAGCCAACAGTTTGCACAGCGCTTTACAAAATGAAGGTAGACGTTACAGTTCCAATACAATTAGGTACAAGAGGAAACAGAGGGCCCGGCTCGTTAGAGCTTACAATCTAGGAGGAAGGGTTGAGTGATACAAAAGGTAATAGCTGTGGGGGATGAGCTGATGAAGGAAATAAAAGGCAGTTTACTAGGTAGAAGCAGGATAGGCTTCTTTAAAGAAAAAGGTTTTCAGGGATCGTCTAAAGGTGGATAGATTAGGAGATAACCGGACAGATTGGGGTAGGGAGTTCCATAGGATGGGAGAAGGTCAAGAGAAGTCCTGGAGGCAAGCATGGGAGAAGGTGACACGTGAGCTAGAGAGCAGAAGGTCTTGGGAGAATCAAAGAGAGCGGTTTGGTTGATATTTTGAAATCAGGTTGGTGATGTAGCTGGGGGCAGAGTTGTGGATGGCTTTTTAAGTTGTTAATATTTTGAATTTTATTAGTTGGACGAGTGGAAGCCAGTGGAGGGATTGGCAGAGAGGGGTAGCAGACACTGAACGTTTGGTAAGGTGGATGAGCCTGGCAGCAGCATTCATGATGTACTGGGGGAGAGATAGCCTATGT